CGAATTCTTTACTTATAATTCCTACTTTCTTATAGAGGTCAAATTATAATATCTATATTACCGTTTTAGTTATTTATTTATTAGTAAGTTCTAAAATATACTAGAATAAATAGGCTATAATATTAATATAGAAGCTTTTAAGTATCTTATAAAATACTATAAATAATACTAGAAATTCGGATAATTACTAGAATAATTCAAGTTTAACCTGAGAAATAATATTAGCTTTAATTATTTTATTATTATTAATATTTTCTATATTTCTAGTAAGTTTATACTTTATATTATTAATAAAGGTACTTAATATTAAGCCGGCTAATAGCTTTAAAATATTAGTATATTATATATTTGGGATACCCTAAAATAGTATTAGATTAATACTTATTTAGGCTCTTCTAATTAGATTATAGCAGATATTAGAAAGTAGTTTACTAGTAAGAAGTTTACTTAGCTTATAAATACTATAGGAACTAAGGTCAAAATTGTTCCTATAAAAGCTTATAGTTCCGTCGGAATTATAAAATACTATTATAGCCTGATTTAATATACTTACCTTATTATTATAGCCGAAATTAATAGAATTAATAAGAATACTATACTTTAAATAGCTTTTAAGGCCATTAATAATTCTACTAGACCTAATAGTATTATCCTAACTCTCTTGGTTTATAATACTTTACCTTAAATAACTAAATATAATATCCTATTACTAATTATATTATAGTAATTAGTAGTACTTAAGAAAGTAATAGTAGAAATTCAGAAGCTTTAAGCTAGACACCAGATTATAAATACCCTAAATACTCGAAATAGTCCTAGTATTACTAATATTTATAAACTTCTCTTAAATTCGGATATTCTTATATAATATAAAGGAAATACTAGTTAACCTAGTAATTGGAATGAGTTATATAAGCTAGTAGCTATTAATAGAGAGAACTATATACTAGCTTTACTATATAGTAATACTACTTTCTATTTAACCTTTATAAAGCCCTTTTATATAAGGAATATTAAGGTTATTACTAATAGCCTCGAACCTGAACTTGTTTCCGAACTTTATAATAAGGCTAAAGATAATATAGATATAATTTCTCCTATTATTCCTGCTATTTTACTAAAGTATAATAAAGAATACTCTTATAAGAACCCGGATTTTATAGTATTCCTATAGGATAATAACCTATATAAGAACTCCCATTAAGTTAAAGTTACTAGCTTTCTAGAAAAGAATATATTTGAGGTTATTTTTAGATTTCAGGTACTAAAGGAAATATATATCTTTAATTCCCGGTTTATTAATAAGATTAAGAATAAGGATATAGAGATAGAGTTAAAGAAGTCGAGATTAGTTATCTAGGCTTATAATAATAGTAAGAAATATATAATATTAATATTATTACTTATTATTTAATATATTAGCTAGAGAATTATTCTTAGTATTATTATTATAATAATAGATACTATAGAATTATATTTATATAATACCTCGCAAGCTTATATCTAATTAATAACCTTGCTTAATTATAATTTTTATATTAATTTATCTCGAGAGCTTACTAGAAAGCTAAATCTAAATAATAATTTAGTTCTAAAATTCATAAAACTATTATATAGTATACCGGAAGCCGGGAACTACTAGTTTAAGACTTACTATTTCTATTATATTAATAAGCTTTCTATAAAATAATTAACTTATAATTCTTGCCTTCTCTATAGTAAGTAATTCTTTGAAATTATTAGCCTTTAAACTAATAATATCCTATCTATTAGAACTAATAATTTTATAAAAACAAAGTAACTAAAGCTTTATAAGGCTAAGTTCTTAGCTAAGGAGTATAAATGCCTTATTTCTAACTATAATCTCAAGTTTAATAGAGGTATTATTTATATAAATACTACTAGAATTACTTTTATATAGGAATACTAATATAAAAACCTTCGAACTATTTCTATAAAAAATATTATTACTATAAGTAATAAGAGTACTATTTGCCAAGATTTCTTTATTAAGGACTAATATATTACCTAATATACTAGAGAAGCATATATTGTATTAGTCTATTAACTAGAAGCTTTATATAACCTATTAATTACTACTTAAGCTATTAAATTCTCGGAAACTAATATAAAGGTACTTAATAAGTATATTTAATAGTAAATTGAGAATATTATTAGAGGACTGAGATTTATAAAGCTAGTAAAGAAGTCCTTATACTTAATTATTTTTACGGATACTTTATTTATAAATAATAGAGATCTCTTTTCCTAAATTAGATATATTCTAGTTCTAATAGACGGAACTAGATATACTAATATTATTTACTAGTTCTTTACTAAATACAAGAGAGTTACTAGAAGTATTCTAGTTTCGGAACTCTATAATATGGCTTATAGTTTTAATATAAGTACTTTAGTTAAATCTATAATTAATAAAATACTAGAAATAGAACTATTACTAGTAGTCTATACGGATTTGAAGTTATTATATAAATGCCTTATTAAATTGAGAACTATTTAAGAAAAGCATCTAATAATTAATATAATATACCTTTACTAGATATATAAATAATAAGAGATTATAGAAGTCAAATGAATTAAGGGAGAATTGAATTCTGCTAATTCTATAACGAAATCGAAGCTAATAAACGCCCTTAAGCGCCTAATTAATATAAATATTATATAATTAGATATAGAGAAATAGGTCAAGTACGGATAAGGCGGGAAATAAATATATGGGATAGGAGAATATTATAAGAGGGGAAGTTATATATAAAAGGCCGCAGCCTTTGGTATATAACCAAAATCTCAGAAGTAATATGGATATATAAAGTATTTGGGAAATCTGGCACTAGGCCGGATTAGGGAATTTGCATATAATTAGAAAGAGATACTGTTTTTTGTATTTTTTAAAGAGTTTCCAGTATTAGTATAGCTATTTTTTTGGGAGTTACGTATATAGTTACGGGATACGGGATACGGGATATGGGTAATAGGACATGGGCAATAAGATATGGGTAATGGGATATGGGCAATGGGATATGGGATACGGGACATAGTTATGTGACCTCGTATTCTATTAGTGACTCGACTAGTAGACTAGACCTCTTTAGGCTTAGCAGATTTAGGGATCGCATATTAATACTATAATACTGCGATCCTTACTTCTGGATAATAATAACTTTACTAATTATATGCAAATAGTATTCCACGACTTATATAACAGTGCTATATATTACTAGTAAACCAATAATTATTTTAAAGAAATATATTTTATTTTTATATTTATAAAGCTTATAATATAATTATTTATATATAGCTTTAAAATATATTATAAAAATAATTCGAAACTTTTATTCTTTATTTTTAATTCTTATTTCTTTAAAAAAAAAGATTTATAATTTTTTATAAAAATTTAATAATAAATTTAATAAAAAAAGTAATATTAAATTCGATTTAAAAAAAGACTTGAAATAAAAAGTAATTAATAATTCTTTTAATAAAAGCTTTATTATTAAACTATTTATTAACTTGTTTTTAAGATTATTTTAAATTAGAAAATAATATAAAATCTAATTTTAATACTTAATATTAGAAGTCTTTTAATAGCTTTTATAAACTAGCTTTTAACTTTAATAATTTAGAGAATTATTTCAATTCCCCGAATTCCTTTTCTTATATATAATAGTCTAATATTAGTCTAGAAGTAATCGTTTTATTTATAAGTTATTTCTTTTTATTATTACTTATATTTAAAAAGAAAATTATTAAATATTTTTAAAGTATTTTTAATAAAAATAAAAATAAAAATAAAAATAAAGCAAAATAAGATTATTTAAATTCTGCTTTTACTAGTATATAAATAAATAGTACGAGATATCCGATTATTAATAATAAAGATATTTTATTTATTTTAGAAAAATAAAAGTAATAAAGAAAAATTAAAATTAAATAAAATAATAAAAGAAAATATAAGATTAGTAACTTTAATATTAGCTTTTTTTTTAAAAAAAAAACAATTATTAAATAAGGCTTAAATAATTGCTTTTTTAATAAAAATATTATATTTAAAAAATTAAAGTAATATTAAGCCCGGTTTAGAATCCCGATTTTAATATAATTAAAATATAAAATTAATATAAAATCCAGGAAAAAAAAGATTATAAAGAAAATAAAATTATATAATTTCTTCTTTCTTTAAGCTTTTTATTTAGTTTCAGTATTTCTTTTACTTGCTTTAATAAAATAGAATTTATATACTTAAGCTAATATTTCCTTATAAGTTCTTTTAATAATTTAGTAAATTATAAGTAATTTACTTAAAAAAGAAATAAATATAATAAGAATTAGACTAATATTTAATATAATTATATGTTTTTATATAATTTCTTAATTATTTTCTTTTTTATATTTTAGCTTTTATTTTTCTTATAAAATAAATATTAAATAATTTAATATATATTTTATTTATATAATATCTCTTAAATTTATAAATATATCTAATTAAATTCTTATTATATATTATAATTTTTTTATTTCTCTTTAATAATAAAAATAATAATAAAGCCTAAAAAGTATTATTAGCTAGAAAAAAGTTTATATATAAGAATAAATATATGAGATTTAATAATAAATAAAGAAAAGTAATTTAATTATTAAAACTCTTATATATAACTAATTAATTTATTATAATTTCGCATATAAAATGCAACTAATTTAATATTAGTATAGCAAATCGCGAAATTGCCGAGTTTTAATCCGAGTATTCTTAAATTAAACCGTAATTTATATAATAAAACCGGGATTTTAGACGAGGAAACTTAATTATAAGTACTTGGCATTTATATCCGCGAATTAATATATATTAGTAATTACAAACCGAGAACGCTTTTCTTTAGAATTATATTATCTTCTTATATATTATCTCCAAATCTGGATCTATTATTATTATTATATATCGAAAGTCGATAACTTATTATTGCCTATACTAAAGACTCCAAATGTTTTTCTTCAAGTTTTCCGTTAACCTCTCTCTATTCCTGCACATTTCAACTACCTGCATTATACTACTAAGCCTTTTGTATCCCTCTGCTTCCCATGGTTCTAGCATCTCTAATACTCGCGGACGACAATCGAATTCGACAGCTATAGCAGTTTCTACTTCCCGAAGTACAAGAGCGACCAATTCGCCTAGCAGGGCACCTTTAGTTCCGCACAGTATATTAACCCCCTCTAGTTCGGCTGCATCGACCCTTAGTCGAAAGCACCGAGAAAGCAATAATGGTAGTACTACGTCAACTCGCTCGACTACTACAGCGTCCTCCAGTAGCGTAACCTCAAGTACTAGTACATTACCGCCTCCTCCGCCTCCTCCGCCTCCTCCGCCTCCATCCTCTCCACCTCCTACCACTCACCCTACAATATCTTCTCGTAGCACTACTAGTACGTCAACATTAATAACGCCCACCTTATCGACAGAATTATGCAAGTATAGTAATTGCGAGGGCTCATCATGTTTACTCGAAGAAGCCCGATCTCTCCAAGAGCTGGCTTTACCTGCTTTGTTTAAGCGTGAAATGAGGGGTCCAGAGAATTACGACGGCGATGTGACTAGATTTTTCTTAACAGAGCTATATAATGCAAAGGCAAGCGGGCAATTATTGGATAATCAGGGCAGCGGGGGAGCGGCCAGGCTAGAATATTTTCGAGAACAGGATCTTACTACTGGTATAGTTGGCCTTTATGGGTGTACTTCGATTATCGTTGTATCAAAAGGAGCCGTATGGGTATCGCATTGGTGGGAGGATCCCCTCTTTACCGCAGAAAGTTTCCGGGAATTTCGAGACCGCGTCCTTACACCCCTAGTCGAGGGAACTGGATCGGAAAATGGAGACGAACGAATACCGGGCCTTGGCGGGCTCACCGGTCCTACGCAACCCTTTGAGGCCTTATATGAGCCTCGAGCCTTGATTGTATCCGTCAGGCAGCAAGATGGTCCAAATATTTTCGAATATGCGGGTAAAATCCGTGTAGTAGAACTTAAACTCAAATCGCTAATGCCCAATATTCGCATCACAACATACAAGTACAGAAGGAATAGGGAGGCAATACAAAGTAGCAGGGAACCGAATGGGAAAATCCTTATTCAATACAGTGCTACTGAACCAGACTGTGAGAGAAAATACAGGATTTGGGTGGAGGCTCAGGAGGCGCTTGAAGAGTCCTGGCCGGCGGCTGAAGGACTACCGTGTAGGAGCAGCTCGACAATCACCTCTTCCGACTATTCTACCAGCACCTTTACCAGCAGTTCTCTGCCAGTGGTAGAGGCCTCTACCAGCACCTCTACCAGCACCTCTTCCGACTATTCCACCAGCACCTCTACCAGCAGTTCTGCTAGCCCCACGTCAACCCCATATACTCCATCGACAACTTCGTCGGCAGCTACTTCGGCACCTTCTAGGAATGCGTCATGCATAGCTTCGAGTTTCTATGGGGTTTTGTCCTGCGTGGCTTCAATCGCAAGTGGATGCCTAGGAGGCGATGATGGCGTTCAACGCTGCGTTTATAAGTAAGAAAGGCCCAATATATCCTGATATTATAGTGCTAATTATATCTTATTATAGCCAGCAATTGCTTTCGCTTTGTGTTTATGACTGCGGGTCTCAGAGCTACTGCGGGTCTGGAAGCACTTGTACTAGTTCGTGTCAGAGTACAGGCTATGCTTATGGATGGTGTACTGACGGGTACCTAAGTCTTACTATTCTCTGTCTAGTCTATATACTAATACTTAGTTATGTTTCTATAGTGACTTCCCGTGTATTTGCAGTCAAACCGATGGCATTGGCACTTGACTCATCGGTAACTATGTCCTAATCAGCAACGCCTAAATTGCCATCTACTTGAAATGCGTCATGCCAAAATATGGATATCTTTTTGGATACAACCTGCGAAGCTTCGGTCACGGGGAAAGGATAGGACGGATTTGGTACGGACAGGAATGGTTATCAGATTGGTATATGCAGACGGAAGTGGCTCGGCTTGTAGCATTTAACTGCAGTCATTCATTATGGTTCAAATAGGAAGGATTTCCGTAAGCACAAGAATGGGGTCATTAAAGTGGCACGAAAGAAGTTTCTCGCTTGCGATTTTGTGACTCTGAGGTTGGGGTAGCATCACGTAATCTACAAGCGAAGTTTGTGTGATTCCGGATCATGCTTTTATAGGGAAAATGTAAAACGACCCCCCCCCCGGGTGTCGATGAGGGGTGTCGATTGGAATTTGGGGTGTCGATAAACTTGTAATTGGCTACCTAAGCTCTTCAAAAATCTTAGGTTATATTTTTTAATATAAGCATAAGCTAGCATATTATAATCCCAGTATTATAATCACGTGCTTTCTAACTTATAATAAAAAGATTCCTTAAAATAGAATTTTAATTTAAGGGAGTTTATATACTAATTAATTAGGTTCTAGTTTTTGAATCCTATAAGGCCCTATAAAATAGGGGCTTATAGGGCTCTTATATTTGGTTTTAGGGACTTATTCGCTAAATTTCTAGGCTTTCTTAAGCTTATTTTTAGGCTATAAAATATGAAATTTTTGACTTCTTTAATTAAAAGAGCTATTACTAATCCAAAGTCTATAAAAAGCTCATATTTAAATAGCGGTTAATTAGTGCTATAACAAAATAAAACAAATATTAAATTATATTAATTCCTTATAAAATTAAATTAAATTATAGAAATAGCCAAAGTTTTGGTGTTCCTGTCCGAGCGCCTCTACTTTAGGTTAGTTCGGCCCCCAATCGACACCCGGGGGGGGGTCGTTTTACATTTTCCCCTTTTATACATAATCAAGTATATACGCGGAATCACGTAAGCTCATTCGAGCCTATTAAAGGGCCCGAACAGTGTGCGAGAAAATTAATCTGATTAATTGATTAATTCATGAAGATTCATGAATAGCGTGAATAGAATTTGATTAACGTAATACTTATGCAATTTGATTAGATTAGAATAATTAATCATGAATATTCATGAGAGTATAGTGCGATCTGGGCACGCAATTACGTACATAGAACGCAAGGAGTAGGAAGAGACGCCACTCAGACACGGAAGCCTTGAGCACGAGGGAACAGGTGGTATTTCCCCTCGCGATCGGTCTGAACATCATTCTCCCAATTTGCGAAGAATTCTTTGTAGCTGGAACAGAGTCTGACGGTCGTTCGGAGGCTCTGTGAGGATGACTGGAACACCCTGTATTTTTCACCAGTAGTATCCTAGGTGCCTGCTTGTTCGCTGAAGTCAGCACCCAAGCGATATACAGGCTGACACCCGTTACTCGCGTTCAGGGAGATACTATACTAGTGTTTGGCAATTATCAACACTTTTTCCCACTCTCAGAGCTCAAACTCATCAATTTCAATATCTCTGGAGTCTATATAAACGCTAAAACTTGCCATACTGAAGACTAGTGCTCTTCAACTCCATTTCCAAGTCCTTAAGTATGAGGTTTCAACTCTTCCCACATTTGCAATAGGCACCGATCACCTCAATACTCCACGCAACTTCACCAGCTACAGAGAAAATTCGACATTAAACATTATTATTCCCTTGGCCCTTCCCTACAGGGAAACACAAAGCTCCCGCTTCGCCACATAGAAACTCTGGCAATGTAGTGACGGTGCCACCCAACCGAACCCTCGTCTCCAAACACGAAAACACAGTACAAACAACCGCTAAGATAAATATGAATATCGTGAAGATCTTGTACCACGACTCGTGTATACAAGGAATGATGGTCGAGTGGGTCTTGCCCCGAATGATATAGAAGGTATAGATCAAAATAGCAAAAATGTCAGAACAAAGTACATGGTCTGCCATAACAATCGCGAGGCCGGGTCATAGGGAAGTCCTGGGGGATAGCGCCAGAAAACCTCGGAACAGGATCCAGCAGCTGGGCCCAAGATACCCCAGGTCGTCAAGAGCCAAAATGCCCGGTACAAGATCCCCTGCCAGCAATGAAGGGGAAGAAGACGATCTCTGACATCCACCTCCAATAGATGGTTGCTGACAGGGGCTTCGAGGATGTTTTTGCCGACATGCTTTTCCAAAGGAGTTTCACTGATCTCTGAACCCAAATCGGTCCCCCTGAAGTTCATATAACTGTAATCGCTAGATAACCACAGACCAGCAAACAACCTTATAAGCCCTAGCAATTGCAGCCCCGCGAATACACCTGGTAATCCTAGCAGTATATGTTCTGAGCCCCCAATATACCCTTCGATTATATAGAACATAATTTGCGCTCCTTGCACCGTCTGCACTAATGTCGTAAAACTCGAAGCCGACAATAGCTGCACATGTGGCTTCACTGGCACCTTTGTAATCCAAGCCCTACTCCTCACCATGATTTCTTCAGATCCATCCCAACGCTTGCGCTCTGCGTCCCAGAATACAGCATTGCATGCTGCCATGTCGCATTGGTCCCAACTCCGTGCTCGAACGCGCCGATCCACAATAATATAGTAGCGCCAGACGATTGAAACAGGATTGAAGTGTGTGAGGTATGAAATCCAGGTTGGTCCCTGGGATAGGCTACCCAGAATAGTGGGACTCACAACGCCGCCTGCGAGGTGTGCGATGAAGGGAGCGAGGCAGATAGTGATAAAGTCGGTCCATTGTTTGAAGTTAAGGCCTTGTGATTGGTATGTGAAGAGAATTTTGGGGACGGTAAATGCAGAATGAACTCCTGGGCAGAGAAGGAGGACGAGGAAAAGATCAAACGTCGTGATTTACTTTTTAAAGGAATGAGAGAAAGTTCGATCAAAAGTGCAGAAGAGGGGTATAATGATATATGATGTAGGCTTCAACCTTGGATTTCAAGGAATCGGTGAACTCCTTCCCCAGAAGTTATTCGCTCCCCGCAATTCTGGTGGCGTAGCTGAAAGGCAGTTGGTAGAGGATGATAGGGCACATTTCCGCCACAAGCAGAATATAGGGCTGCAAACCGGTTAATTCCCTTTTTTTTCTTTTTTCTTCTTTTTCTCTTCTTTTTTTTTTTGGCGGGCTCAATTGCATGATTGCTTTAGGCGACTCGCATAAGCCAGTGGTCTAGATCGAATTTATCACAACCGCATAGGTCATTTGGTCGTACGTGATGTTGGATCTTCGTATATTCCTAAGAAAGGCGTGTCAGCTTTCTCAGCTCCCCACCAGTTCTTTGAGGCTGAAAGCTTTTGACAGCACTCGTCAACAATATCTCGAAAGCCAACCACGTGGTCGCGATGCAGAGAGGAAGTTTCTTTGTAGCTTCCAGTGTAACAGCTTCGCAGATTGCTTATTTTCGTGTCTGTCGCCCCTTTTCATTTGGGTTTGAATGTAGCGCAGCTGGTAGGTGCTTAACGGCATTTTGGGCCTAGGGGGTGCTCTGCTGGGTCCAGAAATGGACAACAGAAGAGGATAAAGAGGATGGACGTAGGTGGAAGGCTGGGTGGAGCTCAAGCGCCCACACGTGGTGCCTGAGGCTGTCTAACATGCTGGTGTGTGTGTGCGGTGACTAGAGTTGGGGTGCGGGAGTATCGAGAGGTTAGTTAGCTAACCCTCGAAAACAGCAACTCGCTAACTGTCTTATTATATAAGAGAGTAATAATTATAAATTAAGTAATTATTACTTGATATTTTATAAAGAAGTCAGAAATGTGCTTATATAGCAAACTCTCACTTTTATTATTTTTAAAACTAGTAATAAAAGTCGAATAAATGATACAAGTTTAATAATTAGAAACTAGCTTTTTTAAGAGCAAAAAAAGAAAGCAAAAAGCGAATTAAACTTTCAATTATCTAAGCCCCTTCTAGGGTTGCCTGGAAGACTGCCAGCACATATCTAAAAGTGAGTTAATTACTACTAAGCACGAAAATTACTACTTTCGGCTTACAATCCTGTTTAGGAATAGTATGTGAGCTAAACAGGGGGTTCTACAATGTGCAGGGACCTACCCACTTTTACATTTATCCTTCCACTTATAAAAAGCCCATCCAGCCGCCCAATCTTGTACATTTCTTTGCCATTCAATGTCTTAGTTCAACGTACTTATTCCGCCCTACGCATTGATAGAAGCTCGTGATGACATATCGCCAGCTCCCACATATTACCAACCTATTCCGTGCTCAACAGCTGAGGACCAGAGTCGCAGCAGTTTCTTCCACTAAGTCACCAAAGAGGGCAATGTCGTCAAAACAATGTAAGGAACCAACTATAACGAGTCATTCCTCGCACCTAGCCATCATCTTCTGATACCAATGAAGCCAAACCGGTCAATTTTGGAATCATTCTGTTTCCAGCTTTCCAGGCGCTTGATGTATTCGGTCCTCTAGATGCTTTGAGTTTACTTTCGCGGACCAACAACATGCATCTATATACTATAGCCAATACCGTGGACCCAGTCTCGACACAGCTGCCTCAAGATAAGCAGCCAAGTGACTCCGACTTTGGACAGCTGGTCGTGCCTACGCATACGTTCAAGACAGCGCCCCCTCTCGACGTGCTTGTCGTCCCCGGTGGGCAGGGCAGCCGGGCAGCAGGTCTGGAGCCAGCGATTGACTTCATCAAGGAAGTTTATCCCTCACTCCAGTATATTATCTCGATATGTACCGGAGCCAGACTTGTTGCACAGGCTGGAGTCCTCGATGGCAAGCGTGCAACTACAAACAAGCTATCCTGGCAATCAACAATAACAGTGCGCTCTGAAGTGGACTGGGTGCATCGCGCACGTTGGGTTCAGGACGGTAACGTATGGACCTCTTCAGGTATCAGCGCTGGCATCGATGCCACCCTTGCCTGGATTGAGCATGTCCACGGGACTAATGTCGCAAAGGCAATCGCGGACAGAATGGAGTACAATCGTGTGACAGATGCGGGCGATGATCCATTTGCAGAGTTGTACGGTCTCACAAAGAAGTCATGAGATTATCATGCACTCCGGCCTATCTCATATGATCTTGGTTGCAGCATATTGTTGTGTTTGGTTATTGCTCTTCTTCGCCTTGTCAAGTCACCATCCGTATTTGTTTGTTTCTATGTACACAATGCTTCTCTTATACCTGACTTGGCTGCCTCTTTAACGCTCTATTCTTCAACACAGCAGAGGTCAGGTACGCTGCCCCACCAGCCAACATTGTAAACCCGCCAAATAGTTGTGCATATAAGTAGTCTCCATTCCGCAGAGCAACCAACCGTCCTCCGATTGGTGGCCCGGTGAAACAAGATATGCTCACGATGCCCAGGATCATGCCGACCTTTGTCCCTACTCTTGTCGGATCTGTGCTCAGATCGCCGACTGATGCAGGAAACAAGCTCTGGGTTGCATTTGCACAGATGCCATAGATAACTGCCCATCCAAATAAGCCTCCAGTTGAGTTGACTCCAATCCAGCCAAGCAGAAGGACCCCGCTTGCTAGCTCGACCGGGATCAGAGAGTGAAGAATACCAAAGTATCTATCCGCGAGTAGGGATGGAATGGTGCGCCCAAAGATGCCTACACCGTTCATGACGATGATGGCGAGTAAGGATGTCCGCTGGGTAAAATCAAGAACCGTACGCCCGTATATGCCGACCTAATTTGTTAGCCCCCCGACAAGCTTGTGAAAAGAGGGGGCGAGGAAGACACAACGTACATAGAAGTAGGCAAAATAGATGCCCCAGAGAGTCAAGAAGGAGCCGAGAGCAAAGAACGAATATGGCGCTTCCTTGAAAGCACTTGCATCGAACAACGACCGAGCCTTTCGTGCTTGGATGCGAGGTCTCGCCAGGCTCACAATTATGATCGCGTTGAAGGTGACAACGGATGCCATGATGAGAACCGTCCATCTGAACCCATATTTCGTCATCGAGGTGTAGGCTATAGCCGGAAACACCATCCCTCCCGTGGCAGCACCGCAAGTCGCCAGAGAGACGGCAAAGGCTCGTTTCTTCTTGAAATAGGTCGGAAGAATCGACACAATCGGAGCAAACAGGAGCCCATGTCCAAGCCCGCTGCAGACACCTTGCGAAAGGAAGAATTGCCAATATTGTGTAGAGTAGGCTGTCGTGAAGATGCCAATAACCTGGAGAGAACAGCCAAGCATCAAACACAGGCGGCAGTACCCCAGATCGACCGCCCTTCCAGAGAAGACACCAACAAAGTTGAGTAAAAACATCTGCATGGACCCTATCCATGCCACATCCGAAGCTGACCTGTCGAGTAGTTGCACATAGTATGACTGGAAGAATCCGAACCTATAAAGAGCTATATTAGAGGCTGAGTGAAACTAGATTTCATCTTTCTCCGCACCATCATAGCCAACTCTGGGCTGGCTGATGCGCGAGGCCGAGGGGAAAGGCGTTGACTTACGAAGTAATGTAACCCCAGCAGTTGAAGATCACCAGATGGCCCGCCACAACCTGAGCCCAAGCAGCAAAGCCTCCATCAGGCACATCAGTATATACCCTCTGGTCACGTGCTTCAACATCAAACCTAGAAGTCGCAAGCGACGTCTACGGAAAGCCGTAAGGATCAGAAGACCAAGCGATTTTCGAATCTGGTTTTCGACCTTCGATATCTGATTTATGGCACGTACGTACTCTACCAAAAATTGCCCGTAACCAAAATACTGTATTCTGCAGATATAACCATACCTAACTTAAGTCCCTTTATTACTGTTTATTATAAGACTTATATATATAATTAAATTATATTTCTAAGTATAGATAATTTATAATATAATTAACTATAATACTTCTGAATTATTCTTATAAGATTATACTAGCCCTGTACTATTACTTATAATACCTCTTTATCCCTTCTTTCTACTCTTACTAATATATAACTAGCTTTATATATATAAGGTATATATAGAAGAACGGAATTATATTAGATTAGAGAATTAGTTATAGAGGATATACTTGGAATAGCTAGTTAGTAGGAGGCATATCCGAAACTAGTAAAAATAAATTAAAATATATGAAGTTATTAGTTTATAGGAGGTATACCCGAAACTAGTAGTACCGAATAAGGATATACTTGGAGTGGCCGGCCGGTAAGAGGTATATCCGAAACTAGTAGTAATAAATAAAGATATATATAGAATTACTAGTTAGTAAGAAATATATCCGAAACCGGTAGTAATAAATAAAGATATATTATAGGATAACTTAGTATAGATCTATATCTAAAATAAAGATAAATAATTTTACTAATTCTTTAATATAGAGGGGTTTTCCTACTATATTCTTATTTCCTAGATTACTATTTTTGCTTTCTTTTATTTCTATTCTTAATCTAATCTCTTTAAAACTGCCTTATCTAAGACTTTATATATTATAATATTATAGCCTACTATGAAAAGTACTAAAAGCAAAAAAATATTAGCCTTTTTATAGCTACTATAGTACTATTTTTCCCTCCTCAAGCCCGACCGAATCTATCTCAGAAGAGAAGTATTTATAAAAGACCCGTAAGCCAAAGCCTCTCGCTTCTCGCCTCTTGCCTTTCTAAGAATAATAAAAGGAATAATAATAATAATAGTACTAAAGAGATAAGTACTAGAAATTAGTATACTTATTAGGCCAAGTTCCAAAAGAATAAGGAAAAGAGAGAGAAAGAGGGAAAGAAGGAGCGGATAAGAAAGGAGAGGGAAAGTCTCTAAAAAACTATTACTAGGGATACTTTTTATAGTATATAGGAAGATAACCTTGCCTTTACTAGAAAGAAGAAAAAGAAATCGAGACTTTAGAAAAGTACTTTAACTAAGGCTTATAGTTAGTAAGAATTAAAAATAAAGAAAGATAATAAGAGAAAGTATAATAAAGAAGGGCTAACTAGTAAATATGGCTATAATTCTACTAATAAGCTTTTACTAATAGGCTTATTAATAACTATCTATTACTATATTAGCTATTCTGGGAAGCCGTTTAAGTAAACTGCCCCTTTAAAACTCCTATTTTTTCTCGACCCTTATAAGATATTTATAAGGCTTAGTAGCTAGATATTTAATTGCCTCCTAGAATCTAATATCTGGAAAAGTATTAGAAGGGCTAAATACTATAAACTTGACCTTAAGAATTAAAGCCTAATTATAGGCTATCTTACTAATAGGGTTACCTGCTTTAAAATTCCGGACTTTCTAGTTCTATTTAAAGAAAATTGCACTTTTAAATAGTTCCTTAAATATATAAAGAAGATATATCCTGATATAAACTATTAAGAGCCCAAACTCTACTTCCTTATTCCTATTAAAAAAAAGTGGCCTCTATAGGATTATTAACCGTATAAAGAGCTAATAATTAATTTAATAATAACCCCTAATACTAATAATTTATTAAAAACCCTTAATATTAATAACTTTAATAATAATATAATTGGAAATAATTATATATCTAAAAAGAAATAGTATTAGTATTAAAATACTAGTAAATAACTTAATATTATTTATTAAGAGAACTATAAGAAATCTAAATCTCTATAAACTCTAGCTAATAAGCCTATTCTAGCTACTAAAACTCTAGCCGCTAAAACTCTAGCCCGTAAGCCTATTCTAGCTACTAAAACTCTAGCCTATAAGTCTACTCTAGCTACTAAGCCTACTCTAGCTAGTAATTCAGAGAAGCCCTTTAATAAGGTATTTAATAAATAATATAAGTAGCTAAAAGAGTTTATAATAAAAGATTATATTAATAGGTATTAATATATATTAAAAAAGAGGCTAATAAACTTTAAAAAAGAAAAAAAGTAATTTAAGATACGAAAATAGAGTTTTGAAAAGGAAAGAAATATAGTAATTAAAGAAAGTAATATTTATATAGATAGGCTTAATAAGAGAATATAGCTTTTAAAAATTATAAGAGAGGAATTTGTAATTAAAAAATAAAGTCTTACTAAAAATCTATATAAAGAATCTTAAAGAGCTAAATATAAAGATATTTTTTTTTCTTTTAGGAGATTCTTAAAATAAAATAGTTAAGGAGAAATAATTATTTATAAGTTTAAAATATCTTAATAATTTTATAAAAAAGGATTTGGAAATTACAGATTTATAAAAGAAGGTAAGGCTTATAATAGAGGCTCTTTAATAAAGTTTCGATTATATAATACGAAATAAAAAAGAGCTTAGCAAACTAGTTATTTAGTAAAATAAAAGTAAAAGCTTAATATCTACTATATAAAAAGCTTTTTAGGTAGCTATATAAGAGACCTAGGGTAAAAGCTCGGAGTTAGTAGTACTAGTAGTCTAGGAAGCTTAAAATAAAGGCTCTGGATCTCTTAAAACAACTAGATCTAATATTAATAAAAGCTCTCTATAGTTAGCTAAAAGTAAGGGGAAAATATATAAATAATAAGAGATTATCTGAATTTCCTAGTATTATTAAATTAGTTATATTAAGAATCTTATTATTCTAGTAGCTAGTTAAATTAGAAATATAAAAAGTAATATTTATTTATTTCTAATTAACTAATTTCTAGTTAATTTTAAGAATCTAGGAATTATATAGTTATATACCTTTTTTTTTGGCTATATAATATCTCAAAAAACAAATATTATATATCTACTATAGTAAAGGGCTTTATTATTAACCTAATTAGGTAAAATATAATACTATTTTATTATATTACTAGCTATTTATATAGCTATTCTATAAGTAATTCAAATAAGCTTTAATATTCTCGGATCTTTATATATAGTCTAGTCTATAAACTAAAATAGTTCTATATCTAGTAATATTATAATTTAATTTTTAATATAAAAATAATTACTTTATTTTAGTATATTTAAATATATTAGATTTGGTTTTTTTAATAGTATTATTATTAAATTATTATTTTCTAGAAATACTAAATAATACTTTTCCCTAAGAGATATATATTCTTAATAAATAATAAAAGTAAATATAGAATTTAATAATATAATTATCTTATACTAGTATCTTTTTTTCTTTTTATAAAAATATAATTTTATTTTATCTTTATTCTAAAACCTCTATTTTTCTTCTATATTTTTTTGACTTTATTATTAATACTAAGAGCTAGTATCTTACTACCCTTTACTAATACCTCTATTAATACCAAGAACTAGTATCTAACTACCTATAACCTCTCCCTCTTTCTTTAAACTCCTTCTTCTTTAAATCCTCCTTCTCCGAATTCTTCTTTCTTTAAACCCCTCCTTTAACCTTTCTTCTTCTAAACCCTTCCTCCTTTAACTCCTCCTTCTCCGAACCCCTTCTCCTTTAACTCCTCCTTCTTCGAACCCCTCTTCCTTTAAATCCTTTACTAATAATACCAAGAGCTAGTACCTGACTACTACTTCCGGGTTACTTTTGTCCGGAACTTCTATACTATAAGTCTTTAACCTACTTACTTCTTAGAAAGCTAAATTTTAGATCCCTCCTCTCCTTTTCCGATACCTCTTATACCTTCGGGCCTTTTAGGAATACCCTTTCTCAAACTTCTAAAAAGAGGCTAACTTCTATTTAGATTTTTCTAAACTTTAATACCTTCTTCTCTTTTCTAATACCTTCTTTCCTCTTTTAATACTTATAAAAGCCTTTAGACTATTACTAAATACCTCTATTTTTTATCTTGGAATATATATTAATTTATTTTTATAGGAAATAGCCTTTCTTTTTCTAATCTCGACTTTTTTAATATATATTTTTTATTTTTGGGCTATTTAGATATCTCTCTATTTTTTTTAATGAAATATATACTAACTTATTTTTTAGTTCCCCTTACCTTACCTCTCTTGCCTTATCTTTCTTGCCTTATTTTCCTTTTAATATTACTATATATATGCCTAGTTAGTACTAGTTCTTATAACCTATAGTTAGGCTTTCTATTTATTAAATACCCGGGTATTTTATTTTATTTTTATTTTATATATTTTATTTTCCTTTTATTATAAATTAGGACTTAAATAGTATTTATCTTAAGTACTCGTATTCTCGGGTATATAAGACTTCTATAAATCTTTTGGGATTATAAACTAGCCTATTTTAGTTTGGGAGAGTTTTTTTGAAAGTATTTTAGGAGTTATAGTATTTACTATAACCCTTTCTAAAAATTAATATAATATAGGTAATTCTGGTCTATTTTCTCTCTATAAAGCAAACTACTACCCTAAGTCTATATAAAAGTCCTAATTATTTCTTGAGTTAAAGTATAAATATTTCTTATTTCTATTAAATTAGATATAAAAGATAATAAGTACTTTTGAGCTAAATTATAGTACTAGTTAAATACTAAGACTTTTTATATCTTATGAGATATTATTTATAGTTCCAGATATATTATATTTAATAGGGCTTCTATATCTAATTATTTTATATTATAGTAAAACATATAGTATTATAGTTAGGAAAGTTCTGCTTTATAATCTTATTTACTACTTATAGATTTTCTAGCTAATAAGTCTTAGCTAATAGCTAAGAAACTTATTAGCTATTTTATCTAAAGCCTCTAGGAATAGGAAGTTGCCTTAATAAAGACTTAGTATTAAAAATAGATTTAACTAATTAATTCAAACAAGGAGTTTATAGTAGAAGTCTCTATATATAGGTAATTCTATATAACGAATTCAAGTTCCTATCCCTGGTTATATAAGTAAGCTATATAAGAAACTTTTTCTAGCTTATTAGAGC